GCAGATATACAAGATAATATTTATTTATATATATATGGATAGATAGATAACAATAAATAAGTTCTGTCCATAAATATCTAATATTGACCAACATTAATCGATTGTATTTAATAATTATTAACACGGATTTTAGTATGGTCAATCTACTCTTCTTCTTAAATTGGATCAAATGGGGTTTCCAAACAATTTATTAACTTGCATTTACCTAATAAAAAGAAATCAAAGAGTTGCATTCAAAAATTCCGTATCCAAAATGATATACGTTTCTTCTGGAGTGCTGCTATATAGTCGTTTGGTACTTTGGTTATTTATGTTATTTATCAATAATCCTCTATGAATCATAAGATAACATACATAAGATTTAATGATATATGCCAATGTAATGTGATTGTAATATTTGCTCACCGATAAGCTTAAGATAAACATTCGGGTTTTGACTTACAGTCAGATATTGATAGTGAATTTCCAATCTGTTAAATATGAATTTTCTTAAGTGAAGCGGAATGTCTTATAGTGGTATTCTAAATTCAAATGTTATTTTATCTGATCTTAAAATTCATTTATAGGGTTTTCTCACCCGACTTTTTCTTCTGCAATTAACTTCAATATAAATAATAAATATTTCGGTATAATTTTTTCAAATTTTTATTACATAATACTGTTATGAACGTGTAGTATTAAAAGTGAGCTATGAAATGGAAGGTCACATTACATAGATTTCTCATAAAAATGTATATAATTTTCTATATTTTACATTTAGTTTTTTTAAAAATCGTTGCAATGAAATGTGAACAGTAAGCAATCTGTTCCTTTCGAGGCCAAAGAAAATGATTATCTCAGTTTTTAAAAGTGATTAATCGTTTCTAGCGAGATTAACGTTTGTATCTGGAAAAACGTAGAAAATTTTTATATATTGTAATGATTGTTTTTTTTGACAGTTTTACAATATAGTCGCGTAATCATCACTAAACTTACCTTAATCAGGGTAACTTATAATATAATTCTTCCTGTAGCTCTTACACTGCGCCACTGATTTTTACAATTTTAGAAGTTTTATTACCTTTAACATTTAAATAAAGCTTTCTCAGAGTCTCGCCATCGTCTGGTGGAAAATGTTAAAAAATGTTACTTCGGGCAAATATTATCAGAAATATATATAATATATATAATAATATATATATATATATATATATATATAATATTATATTTTAAATGGAATACAAATTTTAATGTTTTTATTATATAATCACATGAAAATCTTTACTGTGCAAAGAGGCCTTTATAAAGATCGAATTACAAAGGTCTATAATAAAATTTAAAATCAGTCAGGAAGGGATACCTTAAATAGGTAATTTTTCTTTTAAAATTATTTCTATACATATTTTTTGGGCAAACGCATTTAAAAATGCGCTCGATTGTCCCAGCTATCAATGAATTTCAATAAATCGTGTCCTAACAAATTTAAGTGTTGATCAGTTTAAATTACATGCATGTGTACTTGGTGTAGATCTAATTTGTTCAAATTAATATTAATAGACCTATTTGCATAGAAAATTATAAGTTCAATAAGTCGATAAGTCGATTCAACTTTCAGCTTTAATAGTTCCCGAGATTTTAGCGATATTAGTTTTTCACGATTTGTGGGCGTTAGAGTGGGCGTGGCAGGATGCTGAAATAAACTTGCGCCTGGACCTCAAGAATCTTCATGCTTAATCTCAACTTTGTGTTTGCTATAGTTCCTGAAATCTCAGCGTTCATACGTACGGACGGACGGACAGACGGACATGGCTCAATCGACTTCGCTATTGATCCTGATCAAGAATATATATTCTTTATAGAGTCGGAAACGCTTCCTTCCATCTGTTACATACTTTTCAACAAATCTAGTATACCCTTTTACTCTACGAGTTACGGGTATAATTAGTAAAAATAGTCCCAAGCCGAGGGAAAACAAACCAGTGCATGTGACTTCATCCCACCAAGCTGAGCTAGAACCTAAAAAATCGGTTAGCTGAAACCAGTGAAATACGGATAATAGATTAAAGCTTCTTACTAAATACATTCCAAGACATAGTTTCATCTGGAATAATACCAGCCCCGCACAGAAAAAATCCAAACACAACAAATACAATACCAATATGCAACATTCCAATACTAGTAACGACCTATAGAAAAACCAAATTAATTTGTTGATCCATTTTTAATATTTCCAAGCTAGGACCTGACTGTCAAGCCTTCCAGTACCGGCATTAGCCGAAAGATGGGAGTGGTGGTATTTGCGTTTCACTGATCCCGCTGGTGAATGATACGTTTCGCCGCTCTCAGAACTTTGTGTGCTATAGCGCCTTTCTCGTGCTCGTTTTTGTTCATCTCGTCGTTTCCGTTGCCTCTTAATCGCCATTACGGAATGTATGCCTACTGAATGCATTGTAGTCCTACCAAAGAATATTTTTGTTATATGTTGGGTATGATTAACAAATTAAAATTCCCTTTATAGTCGAGGTTCTCGGAGAACACGTTTCTTTAAATAAAATTATAGAGACAACAACAAGATACCGCCATAGTCGAGTGCCGCGACTATAAGATACCCTACCTGTTTATTAAATAAATATGCTCTCACATATGCTTTTCGATTTAGTTCCCGATTATAATGTTCAAATCGGTATCCTGGGAACAACACGTGGAGGACGTTACTTTGCAACGTGGTCGTTCCAACTGAAATAAGTAGTGGTTTTGAGTTTTCAATCTTGATACAAATTGGACCACCCCAGTAGATGTTTTAAACAAATTTTTGTTTAAATATTTTATCAATTTTTGTTAATAATAATTTATTATTTTACTGACTAAATTTTTTTTTTAATAAAATAAATAATAATAATAATAATAGTATATGTATAATAATTAATTAAGCATGCATTTACTAACTAAATATAAGACTTTTTTTTTGCTTAATACCTTTCATAGTGATTTTGTTCTAAAAATTTTTAGTTTTTCATACGTAAGGCCTATATTTTGATTTAATTTTTAAAACAATAAGGGTTTATTATAAAATATTATATATTATTAATAAATTAATATTTTTGTAAACAATAATTAATAAGGAACATTTTAATTTAAAAAACCTGCAAAAAAAATAACAAAATTTCTAATTTAAATCTTTAAAAAAGGGCTGCCAGTTTCATTCCTAGAGCGATGTGGAAACTCACTCACTTGTTAAGAGCTAGAACTGCCAACTATAAAAATGCAATGCATCACCTAATGGCACATCTGATGAGCTCTGGCACCTTTTAACTAATATTGTTGCCATATGTCATGCATATTAATTTTCTAAATTTTCAATTTTCCTTGCTTTCCTTGCACACCCGGAGCCCCCTTGAACACGTACAAATCATATCATTAAAGTCGGTCCAGCCGTTTACGATTCTATATCAGGTATACACGATAATATTTATTTATATATATATGGATAGATAGATAACAATAAATAAGTTCTGTCCATAAATATCTAATATTGACCAACATTAATCGATTGTATTTAATAATTATTAACACGGATTTTAGTATGGTCAATCTACTCTTCTTCTTAAATTGGATCAAATGGGGTTTACAAACAATTTATTAACTTGCATTTACCTAATAAAAAGAAATCAAAGAGTTGCATTCAAAAATTCCGTATCCAAAATGATATACGTTTCTTCTGGAGTGCTGCTATATAGTCGTTTGGTACTTTGGTTATTTATGTTATTTATCAATAATCCTCTATGTATCATAAGATGACATACATAAGATTTAATGATAAATGCCAATGTAATGTGATTTTAATATTTGCTCACAGATAAGCTTAAGATAAACATTCGAGTTTTGACTTACAGTCAGATATTGATAGTGAATTTCCAATCTGTTAAATATGAATTTTCTTAAGTGAAGCGGAATGTCTTATAGTGGTATTCTAAATTCACATGTTATTTTATTCATACTATGTCGCTTGATCGTACGTTCTTTAAAATCAAAGCTGAAATTAAACTATCAGCAAATATCAACAATTATAAAGGCAATGACTTTTTTTGGTAAAATTACTTGTTTGTGAAAAGTGTTTGTCAGACCTAATTTAGATTCAAGATAGACCGTTAAGTGTTCGAAAAGATTCCACCAATCACATACCGAAATTGCTTAGTTTTCCTTGTAAATCCTAGGATTATGCTTAATAATACATATTTGTAACGAATATCCATTGCCTTCGGCACGTTTTTATTCGCTCGTTATCTTTTGGAATATGAAAATAAACTGAATTTAATTCTTAAAGCTAATAAAACTTGTCAGAAATTCAGCCATAGATCTTAAAATTCATTTATAGGGTTTCCTCGCCCGACTTTTTCTTCTGCAATTAACTTCAATATAAATAATAAATATTTCGGTATAATTTTTTCAAATTTTTATTACATAATACTGTTATGAACGTGTAGTATTAAAAGTGAGCTATGAAATGGAAGGTCACATTACATAGATTTCTCATAAAAATGTATATAATTTTCTATATTTTACATTTAGTTTTTTTAAAAATCGTTGCAATGAAATGTGAACAGTAAGCAATCTGTTCCTTTCGAGGCCAAAGAAAATGATTATCTCAGTTTTTAAAGTGATTAATCGTTTCTAGCGAGATTAACGTTTGTATCTGGAAAAACGTAGAAAATTTTTATATATTGTACGATTGTTTTTTTTAGACAGTTTTACAATATAGTCGCGTAATCGTCACTAAACTTACCTTAATCAGGGTAACTTATAATATAATTCTTGTCTGTAGCTCTTACACTGCACCACTGATTTTACAATTTTAGAAGTTTTATTACCTTTAACATTTAAATAAAGCTTTCTCAGAGTCTCGCATCGTCTGGTGGAAAATGATAAAAAATGTTACTTCGGGCAAATATTATCAGAAATATATATAATATATATAATAATATATATATATATATATATATAATATAATATTTTTAATAGAATACAAATTTTAATGTTTTTATTATATAATCACATGAAAATCTTTACTGTGCAAAGACGCCTTTATAAAGATCGAAATACAAAGGTCTATAATAAAATTTAAAATCAGTCAGGAAGGGATACCTTAAATAGGTAATTTTTTCTTTTAAAATTATTTCTATACATATTTTTTGGGCAAACGCATTAAAAAATGAGCTCGATTGTCCCAACTATCAATGAATTTCAATAAATCGTGGCCTAACAAATTAAAGTGTTGATCAGTTTAAATTACATCCATGTGCACTTTGTGTAGATCTAATTTGTGCAAATTAATATTAATAGACCTATTTGCATAGAAAATTATAAGTTCAATAATAATTTTACCCTCAATTAAATACCTGTTTGAAGCTTAGTAAAATAGTATTTTTTTAAAATAATTTACAGATTGATTTACAGTTTATATATTATTTAAAAAGCATTTAATATATTAATTACCCGAATTTACAATATTTCAAGAGAGATGATTTTTATATTCGTGTTGTATTGATTGCATCATTTATAGTTCCTTTTCTTAAAAGCAGTTTTGTATCATTTTCTACTTCAATTGGAGATATTCCGGAATTGCAGTCATTTAAATAAGAAGTCTCCTCCTCCACAATTTTTCAAGAAAAAAGATCAGAGCTGTTTAAACCTAAAAATATGTTTAATAACTGCTTTCACTGAGATAGCGCACTGTATTTTACCATCATGTCCAGATATCGGCCCGTTGCAAATATTTTCAGTAGATACGCAATGAACAACCGCTACATCTGTTTGATAGCTGTTACGTCCGCTTTTTTGTAAGGCCACAGCTTTTCGAGCATGACGCGTAGTCAATACACCAGTTTCAACATCTCGCTCAAGTCGGTGTCCTAAAAAACATTTATTTAGTTTGTAAGAATTCTTATTAAATAAGCAGGTATTACCAGAACGAGATCGAGTCAGCTGACGCTGCACGTAGTCCTCCAGATCCTCCTCCTCCTTTCGACTTATAAGACAATTTAAAATTAGTAAAAATAGTCCCAAGCCGAGGGAAAACAAACCCGTGCATGTGACTTCATTCCACCAAGCTGAGCTAGAACCTAAAAAATCGGTTAGCTGAAACCAGTGAAATACGGATAATAGATTAAAGCTTCTTACTAAATACATTCCAAGACATAGTTTCATCTGGAATAATACCAGCCCCGCATAGAAAAAATCCAAACACAACGAACACAATACCAATATGCAACATTCCAATACTAGTAACGACCTATAGAAAAACCAAATTAATTTGTTGATTCATTTTTAATATTTCAAAGCTAGGACCTGGCTGTCAAGCATTCCAGTACCGGCATTAGCCGAAAGATGAGAGTGGTGGTATTTGCGTTTCACTGATCCCGCTGGTGAATGATACGTTTCGCCGCTCTCAGAACTTTGTGTGCTATAGCGCCTTTCTCGTGCTCGTTTTTGTTCATCTCGTCGTTTCCGTTGCCTCTTAATCGCCATTGCGGAATGTATGCCTACTGAATGCATTGTAGTCCTACCAAAGAATATTTTTGTTATATGTTGGGTATGATTAACAAATTAAAATTCCCTTTATAGTTCTCGAGGTTCTCGGAAAATATTTTGGAAAAGTTTATAGTGACCCGCACACGTTTCTTTAAATAAAATTATATAGACAACAATAAGTGACCGCCATAGTCGAGTGCCGCGACTCACTGTTTATTAAATGAATACGCTCTCACATATGCCTTTTGAATTAGTTCCCGACTATAGTGTTCAAATCGGTATCCTGGGAACAACACGTGGAGGACGTTACTTTGCAACGTAGTCGTTCAAACTGAAATTAGCAGTAGTTTTGAGTTTTCAATATTGATACAAGTTGGACCACCCCAGTAGATGTTTTAAACAAATTTTTGTTTTTTTTTTTGTTTTAATATATTATCAATTTAAAGATTACAAACTCGAACACATGAGAGGCTTAATTTGAAACATTAGAAAGAAAGCGACCGCTTGTGCAAAAACTAACATTCTTAAAAAGTTCGTTACGAATAAATAAGAGAATGCCACTTTTTGGTCGAGCTCTACTAGCTGACTGGCAATCTATTCTCTCTACTGTTGTAAAGCCAGGAATTTCATAGGCTTCATTTGAGTATGTTGACGTCTCAACGAAGCACAAAAGTGAAGATTTAAGCATTAGCTGATCGGAACATACATCACTAATGTGACAGTGCGAGCTTTCCATATTATGGGTAAAAGCGTAAAGGTTCAAACTATTATGTAAGCAATCGGAGCTCCTGTGGGGGGTTCAAAAGGTCCCACAACATATAGTCCTTCTGCACTTGTGGCTGTGTTATTGGAAAAAAGATGAATGGCGTCATTTAAAACTCGACTTTCATCGGAAACATGGGATCTAAGTAAACTAATATCTTAGGACGGGTTCAAAAAACCTAAAAGGACTTCAAAAATAAGATCCAAATATAGCACTGCATGAACACGTTAACCGAAATACCCCCGAAAGGAGTTTGCACATTAGAAAAAATTTTCTTTAGGCGAAAATCCAAATGAGAAAAGTAAAAGTATTTTAAGATCAATAAATCTTGAACGCAGGGTATTTAATGAAACTGGACTTAAGTTCCTAAATGCGGACCCAGCCTGATTTACAGGGAGAGAGAACATGGAATGAAGGGTGGAGCCTCCGATTCCTGTGGCCTGTTGAATAATAAAATCTTAACCGAAGATGGATCGCATCCTACTATACTACTATACTCCTTAAAAAGAGATTGAAATAAAGTCGATATAAGTCCACTCTTTTCGAGCTCCGCCTCCTACAAGCTCGTAAAATACAGATTTTTTTTGCATTATGCAAAACATGAGTTAGGTAAGTTTTTTTCTAAAATAAAGGGATCTAAGGTTGCTATATTTTCAGGTGAAATAATTGGCGGGAGCTTTATAACTCAGATATTGCTATCCGGTTCTACATCTGAAACATTGTTGTTTAAGTTTAAGACATTAATTTGAGATGATATTTCTGGAAACGCCAGGGCCCTAAACTCCTCATCGATTTTGGCTTTCTCCATGGGCCTTCTAAGCGCGTCTTCTAAACTGTCTATCGGATTATACTTTTATAAAATGGCTTTTATAGCCTCTTCATAAAAAGTATAAAACTGCTCTCCAAGGAGCGAGGGGCATAACTTTTACAAAACTCATAATTTGCAGCAAAATCGGCTAAACACAGGCCATCATGAACGCTTGAATTGCCTCCTTTATTTTCATTGCCTGCTTCGCGTATTATCATTTTGAAGAGATTCTTTGAGATTTTTAAAAATACTTAATAATATAGCTACAGCAAGCAAAAGGGTCCAAATTGAACTGAATATCCATATTTGCCCTTTGCATAGAAGGAATGTGCTTATTATATGCCTTTACTTCAATTTCTGCAAATGTTCTCTTCAGAAAAATGTGTGGTTTTTTCAAACTAGACCTAATAGGATATATAGTCCTCGTAACTGGGGCTCACTTGATCCTGGTCAATTTTAAAAAATGCTAAAATGGGTAATCATCAGTTTGATTGAAAAGAAGAAAGGTTAGAATTTTGAAGTTTTCGCGATAAAGAAAAAGTTTTTGAGTTTCTTCCGGAAGTGGCTTAAGTATTTCCGTTCGGGGCATTGAAGGGTATGGAATACCGAATGGACAAACAGATTGTCCACGCTTGTGCTTTTGGTGTTCAATACACTGAGCCAAATCCGTGTTTGTGGAATCCACAGTCACAAACTGATCAATGAAAGCTATAACATTAGATATAGACTTCTCATTGTTCAAATCTATTTTAGGGGCGTCTTTTAACCAAAACATGCCGTGTATATGAGGTGAACCTCTCTGTTAAAACTCAACCCGCCAATACTAGGTAGTAACGAAATTAATGCCGAAGATACCCTCAGGTCTCTTCATTTGTTTAAGAACATCACGATACCTACGAGGGTGGTCCGTTAAGTACTTAGTACTTAGTACGTTTCTGATGATCCACGCCCAGGTGGCCCGAAAACGGCTACCACGGAGGATAAGTCCACGATATCGTATTTGCAGACCTCCGATTGAAGGCATCTCAAAAGACCGCGTAGGTCATATCCTGCATGAAATTTTGGGCATGAGAAAGCTGTCGCGCGATGGGTGCCGTATGGTATTTTTACGCCAGTAATGTCTTCAGAATCTTCATCGGGAACCACATCGAGAGGCCTTAACTGACACATTGTGTCTTCTTTAAAGCTCTGAACTAACTAAATATTTAATAGCTTCTGAAATTTTAAAAGGCCTTATAGTCTTAGCCATGAAATCATGACCATTTTCCATTCTTCGCTTAAGGTGGAGCTGAACAACCTTAGCCTCAACTCGCAATGTTCGTTCAAGTAGATTTTCGATAGCTTACTTATTTGCTTAGGGAACCACAATCCAATGCAACGAAAACAAATCTGATCTGGGCCAAGCTTTACTTTCCTACTGAATGTACATGTGAGCTATGTGAGCAGCTATTTTATCTTATCTCCTGACTTCGGATCAAATTCGGAAAGTTTTCCGCTTCTCTATTTTCACTAAGGCTTCTATACCGACTAACTCTTTGACTTATATTTCTAATGGCATCGATAGTTGTTCTAATAGATAGATAGTAGTTATCGGGCATCTATACGTGAACTTCGTCGAGCTAGTGTATTTCTTGCTTGCTCCTTCTAACTGTAGCTCTCCTAACCCTATCCCACTCTCTTTCTAGCAAGCGTTCTCGAGTATACCTGACCTGTAATCGTCGCAGGGTATGTGCTTCTGCCACGAGGAATAGTGTCCAAGTGCCTTTCCCTTGCGCTTGATCCAAAGCCCAGGACTTGCTATTAAGTCGTGTTTGGAAACGAATGCGAGTATACGCTGCTTCTTCATTCGCACGAAAAACGAAATACAAGCGCCTTTTCCCATGGTTCGAAGTATTTTGAGCCTGAGCCATAGTCTTAGACTCGATATTTTGCCGCCTTACACTATGGCGGAGAGTATGGGCTACTTGCTCGATTGCATGACCGGAAAGATTAATTCGCGTTCATCTACCAGATGCAGTATTAACGCCATCCTCAGCATATCTGGCTAAGGAATCTTCGCTCTGTCTGCGCTAAAATTATATTTCCTATCCTCTCCATTCTGCATACTTCTCATTTTCCCTATTTCTTAAGAACTGTTGCCTAGCCCGTTGAGAGCCAGTGGGTCTTCGCAAACGAGGAATTTTTTAGAAGAATTCTTTAAAAAAAACTTGAATTGCAATAAAAATAAAAACTGTTTTAAAAACAACATATTTCAATTTTATAAAAAAATATACATAAAATATATTGATGCTTTTTTTGTCGCACTATTAAAAGAAAAAACAAGAGGAAACGCTATAGTCGAGTGCCGCGACGGTTTTACACAATTTAAAAATATTAATTTTGCTAGTGGAAGTTACCCAAGCGCCACCTATTGTCGGAGAAAACATGTCGAGTAACTGATAGTGAAGTCACTGCCCATGTGAGGCCTTATAACCTAAATTTCTTCATAAGTAGCGAAATAGTGTTCCGATTTGAAAAATCTTTAGTAAATCGATAGATATAAACAGAAATAAGTTATACAAACGAAGGCATTCATAATATTATTATAGACGCCGCAGTGTTCCGCGGTTTGTAGGCATTAGAGTGGGCGTGGCCGGATAAAAACTCGGGAAGTTGGAAAGTTGCAGTGGTATTCCTTAAATACGTATTCTTAAGCCTAACTTTCTAGCTCTTTTAGTTCCCGAGTTTTTGCATTTTTGGTTTTTCGGGTATTGTGGGCGTTAGGGTAGGCGTGGCTAGATGGGAAAAAAATTCTCATTTGGGGCGTCATAAAAATCGACATGTTTAATCCGAACTTTCTATCACTTATAGTTACCGAGATATCAGGTTTTCTTAAAAATGCGAAAAGCGTCTTTGGAGCTTGGTGGGCGTATGGGTGGGTGTGGCCAGATAATAGTAGCACTTAAGGATGCGCTGGCACCCAGAGCTCATATATACTGAGTTTCAACTTTCTAGCTCTAATAGCTCCCAAGATTTTAGACATTTTAGTTTTTCGCGATTTGTGGGCGTTCGAGTGGGCGTGGCAGAATCAAGAATCTTCATGCTTAATCTCAATTTTGTTTCTGCTATAGTTCCTGAGATCTCAGCGTTCATACGGACGAACGGACGGATAGACGGACATGGCTCAATCGACTTCGTTATTGATCCTGATCGAGAATATATATACTTAATAGGGCCGGAAACGCTTCCTTTTATCTGTTACATACTTTTCAACGAATCTAGTATACCCTTTTACTCTACGAGTAACGGGTATAACAAGATGAAACGTTATAGTCATATAAGATACCCGTTACTGTTTTACACAGTTTTAAAATGTTCATTGTGCTAGTGGAAATTCACAAGGCGCCACCTATTGTCCGAGAAAGCATATTGTTATAATTTAAATTTAAATAATGTTTCGATTTAGAAAATCTTGGGTAAA